ACCATAAACTTAATATAAATTGTAAACAGCACAAGTCAATACTGTATTTTTTGGGGGGAGGGATTAGGAGTGCCAGTCCTGGGGCTTGAACTCAGGGCCTCTGCGCTGTCCCTGAGCTTTTTTTGTTCAAGGCTAGTGCTCTACTACTTCTGCCACAACTCCAATTCAGGCTTTGTGGGTAGGTAATTGAAGATAAGAGTCTCAAGGACTTTCTTGCCACCGCTGAGATTATAAGATCCCTAGGCAGGGGCCACAGGACCAGTTTTAACCTGTGGAAACATTCCTGACTTGGAATCCTGGCCAGTTAGTGCTGTCCAAACTGTACCTGCCCAGTGTGTACAATGATAGGCAAGGAAAAGATCCTAATTTGATCTTCAAAAATGCATATTGAAGGTGTGTTGCTTTTGCACCGTTATAAAAATAAAATAAGTCAGTGATAGTTATTTGACATTTTTTTTTTCCAGCAAGGCAAACTTTACTTCTCCAGAAGGATGTGCTATCAGCCCCGAATCTGGCAGGCAAGCACACAGAGCAAGCAGGCTGCTCTGATAACTAGTTTGAATAGAGTAAAATGTATTTATATGATTTTTCCTATGTCTTTAATGAACTGGTTTTCCTGAAACAGAGTCTTACTATGTAGCACCTTGGACTTAGATGTCTGGGATTGCTTAAAAGTACAACCATGCATGGTTTTAACTAATCTTTCATATTGCTGGAAAATTTTCCTGTGACAACTGGTTGTTTTGGTTTCACTGATAGTTTTTTAACTTTTAAAAGTTAGCTTTAAACATTATTTTCTTGAACAACATGCAAATGAAATTTTATATTTGAATTTTTTCTTGCCCTTTCTTCATCTAAAATTGGCTCTTTGTGTGTGTAGGAAAACCCAGACTAGTTTGTAATGAGCCAATGTTATGAACTTGTATTCTTTTATAAGGTTACTTTTTGAACCTTTGTAAGAGTATTAATTTCTTCAGTTTTTGGAGGGGCCATTTAGGTGACATTTCTTGTCGAATTTATTCCATCTGCTTGACCCTGGTTGTCTTCATGACAAGATTATTTTTGCAACTCAAGCAAAATCAGAGCTTTTGCGGTGCTGCAAAGATGTCTTATTTTCTGGAGAAGAATCAGAATTCATTACAATATAAATCATATATCACCAATTAATTCTCTTTCTGAGACTTATCACCAAACTGTTAAGGAAAGGATTCAAGAGCACTAAAAGAACTAAATATTAAGTAGTTCAACTTTATAGTAAATTGATGTCTTTCCCATATATATGAAACCCTTCCCAAGAGACAAACTTATTAACTTAAAGTTTTCTCTTACGTCCAGGAAAATTTTACTATTTTAGAATTTTAGACACCATAATGTAGAGGAAGCGTTGAATGTGAGTAAAAAAAACATGTTCTTATAGCCAAGTCATGTGGGATATAGTCTCTGTTTCCCATTCAAAAATATGTGTGTATGTGTGTGTGAGAGAGAGAGGCAGGGGAGGGAGACAGAGACCCCTTTAACACTATATTATATCAAGCTTACATCAAATGTAAGGGAACTAATCCTTGAGACCAGTTTGTAATTACACTGCCTAGTTAGAATAAATGTAATGGGGGAGGGGAGAAGCTAAAAGTACATGTTGTCACATTAAAAAAAAAATTGTGATAGAAACAGTAATTGCATTGCCATTGTAAGAAGAAAGTCTAATTGAAAACTTAATACACTTTAGAAAAGGAAGAAATAGTCTAAAGTGCTCATTAAATCTTTCAAATATACTCCCATGCAGTCTCAAACATTACTTAGAAAGAGCGCTAGTGTTTTCTTTGTTCAGCTATTATATCTCCTTATTTGCTTGTGTCTGTTGTGTGCTCCAGTGTGCTCCAGTGTTTTTTTTAAAATAATCCAGGACTTGTTTTCATATCTGGCTGTCCTAGTTACAGAAAGAAATCAAATAGAATCACACCTGTCTTAAATACCAGACAACGGACTCACAGTGACTTCAAATGCTGGATCCAAGGCTCTCAAAATGCTGGTGATGGGATGTGGCAGTGTGTGGTTTGAAATTTTGAGGGTTTCACATTGTTCTGCTTTTCTTTTCAGGAGTCATTTGAAATATATTCTTGTATATAGTCACGTCATAAATAACGGGGCTTCAAGTCTCCTGCACCAAGCACAATCTCTGGTTCCTTTTCACGTTTACCCAGAAATGTTTATTCTCACACCTGTGTCTCCCAACCTTGATTTTGGAGGAACCAATAAATGATCCTTTGAATCCCTTAGCACAGTGTGGTCGGGTATAAGTATGTGTTTCCTTCACAAAGCTGAAACTCTCTTGTAGCCACATTTTAAAAAGGTAAAGCAGGTAAAATTGCATTAGTGTATTTTACTTCATTCAATATGCCCCAAAGATTTTAACTTCAACTTAATGATAATACAGAAATTGATAATAAAATAGACTAAGAAATTATATAAAGTATATTTAATAACTCCAGAAATTATTAGTGAGTTATGTCATACGATTTCCTGTGTGTATTTTACACTTATAGCACATCTTAGTTTGAGGAAGCCTTACGGAAAGTGCTCATTAGCTACATATTTAGATAGTACAGTCTGAGAGCAAATGGGATTTCTTATTGTCTAGCTTGACTCTTGCTTAAATAAAAGAGGGTTCTTAGGAATTACGCTCACAGAGTTACCATGGAAGCCCTGCTAATTAACCATTGTTGTCATAGTTGCTGTATAATATTTTTTGGTAATTGAAATGTGAACTTTTTTTCTCACTGTTTATCTGGGTGCTTCCTTAGCTCCTTATTTTATCCTGGTTGGATAATTTCTGGTGAGATGTCTCACCAGAACCAGATGTGGAAAAAAGCAGAGATGAACACATAATGAGAGAAGCAGAGATTTCTCTTCCAGAGGAATTTTCTTTCTTTCATTTTTGTTTTTTGAATATTTTTATTTTCTTTAGGTATTTGTACATGAAGTTTCCATTCCACAGACCATTTTATGAATGTACTACCTCTTGATCAATTTCCCCCCTTGTAACATTCTGACACACCTCTTCCACCCCCTCACTTTTCTTAATGTTTAGGTTATGTATTGACTTTTTTTTGTCATTTAACAAAGCACAAATTAATCAGCTTCTTTGGATATAACTTTTCTCATCACAGCAAATACTATTGGGAGGTAAGGCAGAGATGAAATTTTTGCTGATAGTCTTATCCTCCTATTCTTTATGATGTAAATCCAGCTTTGTTTGGATAGACAACTCAGCCCACCCAAAGTAGGTAAAAGTATAGCCAAAAAAATCCCCAAAACAAAACAAAACCCACACTTTCCTCCATAATTAGTTTTGGGCAAAGGACAAATTTATTTTTTATTATTGGTTTAATTTTTTGATTGGTTATTGTAGCTTCCACATAACAATATAAAACATTTCTTTAGCAAATATGGAAAATTGGCTTCTTTGAAGCTACTTTTTTTCATACAAAACATCACAGAGGATTTTAAGAGGATTGTTATCAATTTGGTGGGCGTCGATGTAACTACCAGTGAAAACAAGATTAAACCTTGCTCTTCAAAAAAGAGTGGTCTTTGAAACAATTTATAACTTCATCTGATGTTGTGTTATAAAACATGCATGCATAGATATGGAATGCTGGACATAAACCCTAAAATACTTAAATAGAACTGACAATAACACAGTGAAAGTAAACATGGGAAACGAATCTGTTTCATAACATGCATTTAATTTCAATAGAGCCAGCGTTTGCTGCAATTATTTTCCCATTATCACTTTTCTATTTAAAATTTGAACTAAATTATCTGAACATTTTCAAAACTCTAGTTGGTCTTTTCATCTGTACTTTGTTCTCAGCCCTTAACTGTCTTCTCTTTTTGTAAACTGAATCCTCTTATAGGAGAATAGTTTTAGGATCCTGAACTTGTCATCTTACAATGCTATTACGCTGTGGGTCCTGAGTGATTCTGGAGGTGGGGTTAATTTTTGTTAAGCTTAGGAAACAAACTAAATATAAGTAATTCACTTAGTTATTGGGGTTTCTCCTCTGTGGTCTTACTTGCTGTTTTTATGGCTATCTCCTGCAATATCCCATTTTTGTCTCTTTTGGTGTCCATCTCTGACATAGGATTACCACTTACCGAAGCATTGTTTTCTCAAATAACAAACATTGCTTCATAGGAAGTTTCCTGTTATATCTGTGTGTCTGTCTCTGTCTGTCTGTCGGTCTGCCTGTCATCTATCTGTAATCCACCATCTATAATAAAATTTCTAGAATGCAACTTTTTTACAATATCTACATGTCAAAACATTTTTACATATTTTTATAGATCTCCCATCTCATGTAGAAACCAGATCCCAAGAGAAAAATATAATTTTCTACAGACTTATAGAGAACAATATATTAATATTTTGGGCTTCATTTATGTATGGGGGTTTTCCATCTGCCTCTTGGAGATATTTATATGTAGCTGTAATATTATGTTAAAAGACTTTGCTTAGTAGAAACTGTATATTTTCCCTTATACTGCCTGCAAAATGTGTACTAACTTTCTGAATGCTGGATAAATAGATGTTTATTAAAACTGATTAGATCATTTGTTCAACACACATTAATTAGCCACTTATATGCTTGGTTTTGGCCTAAGAGCTCAGAATGCAAATATGAATGAGACATACAAACATACAGTACAAAATGCCATTCAGGCACATAATTAATTCTGTTTATGGTTGAAGTATCTTGTGCTAGGACATTCTATTTAAGTTAAGTCTTCAAATCTGAATAGGAGAAAGCTGTTAACTGGAAGTTATGGGTAAGAGTAGTGTGCCAGTTGAAACTAAGTTATTATGTAATTGTCTGAAATGACCCAAAAATTCCTCAAAAGATAGGTTCAGGATAGTTTTTGAGTAGTCTCAAATGCTAAAGATTCCTCAGATTCTTTAATGGCTAGAGAGGTTGAGAATTTCTTCATGTGCAGAGAAGTTTCTCTTTAAGTCTTTAACCCCCTTATTTATCAGGCAGTTGTTTCCTTGAGGATTTGTTGTTGGTTTTAATTTTTTGAGTTCCAGGTATATTTTACATATGAAACCGTTGTCCGTTGTATGGCTAGTGAAGATCTTCTCCCAATCCGTAGGTTTTTTTCTATTGATCTTACTAGCTATGTCCTTTGCCATGGAGAAACTCTGCAGGTTTATGCAATCCCATTGGTCCAACCTTTCTTTGATTTGTTGTGTTTCTGGGTCTCTATTAAGCAAATTTCGTCCTGTGCCAAGGAGACCTAGGGTTTCTCTTATTCTACCCTGTAATGTTTTCAGGGTGTCTGCTTTGACTCCAAGGTCTTTGATCCATTTAGAGTTGATTCTGGTGCAGGGACCTAGCTTTAGTTTTCTACAGGTGATAAACCAATTTTGCCAGCACCATTTACTGAAGTGGCTGTTTTTTTTTCCATTCTATTTTTTTGGCTCCCTTATCGAAGATTAGATGGCTATAAGTCTGTGGGCTCAACTGCAATCAAAACAACATTGTGATTCCACCTCACCCCATTCATTTCTGCAGGGATTGTGAGAAGGAATTATTATTATGATTATTATTATTTTGCCTAATACAGTTCATGGAACACTCTTGATTCTGGCTTTGATTATAGTTGCCGACTCATTTCACCCTTTACCCCACCATTTCTGTGCTTCCCCTGCCCGTCTCCAAATCAGATAATCTTACATACAAGAAAAAAAGTACAGAAAAAAAAACAGTGCCAAAAGTGGGAAAATCCACAAAAAGTAAAATAAAAAACCTCTGTCTTCCATTTCTTGGGGTTCAATAAGCATCATTTTATATGATCTTCTGCACATAGCCACTGAGCCCTTGTGATTGCTCTCCCAAGAATATCCTCCTTTTGTCTCACTGTGTGGATGTTTAGAACCCTGTTTAATTTATTATGCCCAAGTGTAATTTTTTTGTCTTTTTAATCCATTGGGTTTACATGTAGATTTATAGACATATTCTAGTTATTGCAAATGAGGGAAATCATGAAGCCTATGTTTCTTTGGGTCTGGTTTACTTGGGTTAATATAAAATTTCCATCTTTCCATTTTCTTATTAATGGAGCAATGTCATTCTTCCTGATGGAAGCATAGAATATCATTGTGTGTATACGTACCATATTTTCTTGATCCATTCATTTGCTGAAGGGCATTTGGGTTGAATCCTTGGCACTTGGGTTGAATCCATAGTAAACAATGCTGCAATGAACATGGCTGTGTTGTTAGCTTTAGTGTGGCCTTTTTTTCAATTTTTATTTTATTTTTTTTTTTTTTAATTATCTTTAAATAGCTGTACAAATAAGTTCCCATTCTATAAAACAGTATATGAGTACAAATTGTCTGACAACATTGTCACCCATCTTAGTGTGGCCTGGATTGTGTCATTAGGATGAATGCTCAAGAGTGGTATTGCTGGATCATTGGGAAGCTCTATGTTTAGTCTTTTAAGAAGAGTGTCTACTACATAGATTGAAGACTTTGTGCCTTCCAATTCTACTTCAGCTCTGAATTCTGAATTATGTCCAGCTCAAGAACTTCACATTTTCACCTGGTGTCAATCACTTCTACAAGCCATCCTAGAACTCCTGGCTGGCCTGGCTAAGATTTTCCAGCATTTCCAGCATCTTCCTACCCAATTCTGCTTCCTTCTTTCTTTGGTGAGTAGGCTTTCCTCTTTCTTTCTTATTTTGCTTCCTCACTTTTTCTTTTAGAAATCAACACCATAAATCTTTACTTATGCTTCCTTTTGTTTGCATTGGTTTTTCCAAAAGCTTCAAACAGTCACCTTTCTATTTTCAAACCATGTTTAACCTTTATGACTAGAAATTTTGTCCATTTTGGAATTAGGGGAAATGACAAGTAGTGTGGAAAAGGGAAGAAAGAGACCGAGAATATGCTTCTTTGTTCTCTTCTCCATTATTACCTCAAGAAAGACCCTCAACAGCCCAAAACCAAAGGATTAAGAAATAAAATGAGTACAACAGAAATGGTTAACTCACACAAATCTATTTGAACAAGTGGAGGTGTGGTTCAAGTGATATAGCACCAAACTTGTGAAGAAAAAGCCACACAGCAATCCAAGGGTCTGGTTTCAAGCCCAGAACCAACAGCTACACACACACACAAAAAAGCTAGTTGCAGAAAGGTAGTTGGACATCAAAACCTGTTTCACTTATTGAGAAGAAAAGTGGTGATATTATATAAATATTTGAAAACGTGTTTTATTTATACAAAAAAGAGATTATAACTCACTTCTAGAACAGAGATAGTTAAGGGTATGATCTGTACCATTGTTACCTTTATGTCCAACTTCTAAGAACGCCAATGACTAATAGTTGCTTGTGAAATGTCTCTTAAATTAGAATGAAGTAAATGTTCAGTTATTTTTGTGCCAATGAATCCAGAAAGAGAATAGCTTCATTTCATTAAGTTTCACTGACCCCGACAGCTGATATTTGAGAACTGTGTTGGGAGTATATGAAGCTAAATTTAAAAGTCTGTTTATTCAAAGAATCTTCCATTTTTAAAATCTGTCAAGACCCTAAATGTGAATTTTGAATCCATGTGTAACTAAAATCAGAGAAAGCATTTATTAGCCTGCTTTGGACTTCAGACTTCAGATGTTTGGGAGTACTTCTAATTGCTACATTGCTGCTATTTTTATCCAGGTTGCTGAAAGGGTTTTTATAAATGCTGGAAGAAAGCCAAACTTAAAGAGGTTAAGCTTCTAAATTCTTATGATCTACAGTCAGGTAGAAGTGACACATTGTAAGCAAAATATAATCTCTTCTCTTTACAGAAATGCCAGCCTAAGTATCATCGATGGTGGGAATTCAGCAACTTTAATATATTCAAGTTAGGGCAGCAGAATTTTAAAACAAGCATTTGTGGATCACTCAGTTCCCTGCAGCTGTGCATGCGTTAACTATGCTGGCTAGCAGTCTTTTCAGCTGGGGCCTGCAGGTCTTCGGTAGGCTCTACCTTTAATGGAAAGCCAGGAACAGCCTATCTTGTAGATAGAAGCTAACACCCTGTTTCCCAAAGTGTCATATCTTCCACACAATGGAACCAATGTTGTGTGAGGCAAAGGACTTGGAATCCATTTAGGAAAGTCTTAAGCTGCAGGTAAAAGGAAGCAAAATGGCTTTAAGAAAAGACAAATTTTAAATCACATATGAGTTTGGAGATTCAGGGACGAAAGCAAGCAGAAAAGAGGCTTTCCTTTAGTTAAGGAGTAAAAGCTTTTTTGGATTTCCTAAGTAGTTTCTTCTGTCCAGTGAGCTAAAATCAGATGACATGGTTTTGTGTTCATGTCCCGACGACAGTCGGGAAACTCTTACCTTACTAAATGGGGAAAGTTATAAGGGCGTCTTGAAATAATGCTTACCAGGCTCTGTTTGATGTCTGTCTACCTTGCAAGGAATTATTACTGAGGATAGAGAAATTTCAATCTCTAGTCTATTATAAAGTTTATTAAAATTAGTGCTTAGTACATTTATTATAGAATAATATATGAACATACAGGTACTTTATATACATCTATACAAGAAATATGTATATATTAAGTGAACTATAACCACTGTGTTATCTATAATATTGTTATAGGCATTTATGGATCATTATTTATCTTATCTCATAATATTATTGTAGGCTGGTATTTGTGTTATACACACAAACTTTTGAATTGGGCAAAACAAGTAATCATCCATTCGGTTTACTGATGGAACAGCCTAAACACAAAAGCTAAAGATAGCTGGAAGCCATCTCAATGTTCTTTAAAGAAGACTGTAGGTTAGTTTCTTACTGTGATAACCAAGAAGGCCAGTGGTGGAGAGAGAAAATACAGTAAGTACTATATTAATGTCTGTACTATGCCTTTAACATACAGTTATCTGTCCTACTGACAAAATTGCTGAAAGTTCCAAAAGAGGACTCATTACAAAAAGCTGTTTCAGTGGAAATGGCCACATTCAGTGGTCAGAATGGATCTACCGCAGCTTACTTGAGACCATCGGGGAACTAGATGAGCCTTGTCTCTTAGCTAGAATTGGCATCAAATTGTTTTGTTTTTGGGTCTGGTCATGGGGCCTGAACTCTGGGCCTGGGCACTGTCCGTCAGCTCTTCAGCTCAAGGCTAGCGCTCTACCACTTGAGCCACAGTGCCACTTCCAGCTTTTTTCTTTTTGCTTATGTGGTGCTGAGGAATCGAACCCAGGGCCTCATGCATGCAAGGCAAGCACTCTACCATTGAGCCACCTTCCCAGCCCCGGCATCAAATTATTATAGCATGTGGCTGCCCATTTCTTAAACAATGTTTACCATAAAAATAGCTTTTAAAAACGTTTTACTGACTGTAGGCAAAAGACTTTTAAATGCCAGTTTGATATGGACTTGAATTAAGTTGAGTAGAAATTGACACACACTTTGAGGCAGATGCTGAAATCTCAAATTTATTGAAGGCCTGAAGCTTTGTGGCAGACAAGAGGCTCAGAAAAGAATCATAACACAATCAAGCAAGAAAATCATGAGGGCACTGAATGACCCTTGTGTCTTGTGTCTGTGCTATCCCAATGGAAACCATTTATACTTCAGATCCTAAACTATTTACTATCTGGAGGCAACAAAAGACTACAAACATCTTCCTGATGGATCTGCCACAAACCCAATGAAACCATTCTATTTTACGATTGAAGGTAAATTTAACTTGATTTTCAACTCATTGCTCATGCTATATGGGCCAATTGGAACACACTGTGAGCTAACTTTTCTGTATTGTCACAGGTTAGCATTTATCTTATATACATAATCCTTTTATATCAGGCAAACATGTAAAGATCCATTTGGTTTTGTTTGCTCTACTTCCAGATTTATTTAAATAATGTTATTATTGATAAGAAATGGTGGAAAATTATCCTCTTTTCCAAAAGAACAGTCTGTGGGGAAGTATGATCACAATTAGTGTAGTAAATCCTAATTTTCTTATTGTTGTAATGCCGTATCCTAGGCTGGGTTGGCAATTATATATCCAAGCTTTTAATTCCAAGATATGTGTAGACAATCACTTTTATCATGAAATATTACAGACTAGGCTCCATGTGAGTGGGTATAGCACATTTCCCCTTATTAATAATTTGATATTTGAAGGGGCCAATCATTTCAGTTTATAAATGACTACTGTATCAGTTCAGTTTATATAGTACTCAAACCCTAAAGAGTTCTGAGTGGTGCTGGTCAAGGGTAATGTAGCTTCAAAAGGCAAAGATATGTCTCTATCTGAAGAAATACACACACATGTATGGGGATACAGTGTGATAATTACATATGTACATATAATATGCAATAAGCAGCTCAGGGTAGTTAGTATTTCATATATGTGGGATATAGTATGAAATTTCAATGCACACATACAGTGCATACAGCTCAAATCAGGGTACATAGTATTTTTTATCTTATTTCTACTTTACATGTCCAATGACTTTCAGGAACTCTTCTGAGTACTTTCCCATTCTTTGGGTCTTTTTCCTTCCTTCCTTCCTTTCTTCCTTCCTTCCTTCCTTCCTTCCTTCTTCCTTCCTTCCTTCCTTCCTTCCTTTCTTCCTTCCCTCTGTTTTTTCATTTTGTGCAGGCACTAGGGCTTGAATTCAGAGCTTCTTGATCTTGCTTGTCCTTTAACTCCAAGCTAGTGGTCTACCACTTGAGCACCTCTACTTCTATATTTTTGCTGTCTAATTGGGGATTAGATTTCCTCATATTTTCTGCCTAAAATGGTCTTGAACCAGGATTTTTATATATCAGTCTCCTTAGCAGCTAAGACCACAGGGTGAGCCACCAGTGTCTGACTTGTGTTTCTTATGTTTAAAAGATAATGACTCACTCAAATAAAGAAATTGTTGTCAAAGAAATTATATCTTATTTGGCTCACTTGATTGTACCAAAAACAATTCATACTTCATTATTTAGTGGTACTTTCATGCTTTGAAGTTGGTTTAAATAAGTATAAATACTTCTTAACTATAAACAAATCTTTTAACCCTACAAGAAGACTGAAATTAACAATATAGCAAACATCTTTATTGAAAGATAATAAAGATCATTTTGAATTGTGGTTTTCTAGATACTGTATAAATGTGTTTGTACACTTACTTTGTTATAGCAAATAGCAAGTCAAATATTAAAATTATATCTCACATGGTTTAAATGCAGTATGTAGAAGGGGTAGTATTAAAAGTATTAATAGCTGGTTTGTAGGGTTTTTTATATTTTTTATTTTGAGAATACCATACCGAGGAGTTACAATTACATGGGCAAGATAATGAGTACATTTCTTATCAAGCATTATTGCCTCCTCATTGTTTCCCCTTCCCATCCTTTCCCATATTCCTCCCCTCCCCCCACCGACCCTCCCCCACCCCCCACCAAAGTTGTAAAGTTCGTTTTTCGACATAACAACTTGTGCATCTCATTGTTGCAATGGGTCCACCTGTATCCCTAGTTAAATGATTTGTTTTTTTCCCTTCCCCTCCACAAATTATACCAACATCAAATACAGTGAAAGTATGGGTTATACTGTGGGAGAGGGACATACAAAGCAATATAGAAATCATCTTATAAATATATTTGGTTTGTAGTTTTTATATCACTGCAGATCTGAAAATTCAAATAGGAAACATTTCCTTTTTCTTCCAGGAAGGGAACTGTCAATTGTTTCCTGCCTCCTCTATCTTTGCTTAGAGTGAGTTTCTATTAATCAGTATTTGCAATCAGTCAGGAAAAGATTTTTATTAAGGGATGGCTTAGTTGGCCAGTTAATGCAGATAGCTAGAAGTTATGAAATCATTAAATTGCTGGACAGCCAAAACAATTTCTCTCACTAACCCAGTTTTCCTGATTGTGACTATCACAATTTGGATTGTGAAGGAGGCAAAGTATAAGAATGAGATTCACATGCAGGAAGTTGACTAAACGTTCTCTTGGAAGAAAGGATAGCAAGACTGGATAGAGTAAGATGGTAGCTGATACCCTCCAGCTGATACCACAGGACTGCTGAAGCCCAGACTCTTCAGTGGTATGCTGAGATAGGATGAGGGATTAGTTGTCAGGGCTCTGTTAGTCATCATGTACAGACCACTGCAGTAAAGAGGTGTTTAGCTTCCCTCAGGTAGGCAGTGCTCACCGGGGCTTTAGTTCTGGCTTTCTGTGTATAGAACTCTCAGTAGCTGAGCACTTAAGTTCTTCACTCCTGATGACAAATGCCCATGCCCCATTACAATATCCCCCACAATGTCTAATGAGATGTTCCTTCTGGAGAAGTTAAGTCATAAGACATGATGATAAAAATTCATTTAGTTTTCGTCACAAATTGCCAGATCTCTAGAATATAATATTCACCCAAAGAAGCCAGGCACAAGAGTACAAATCTTTATTCCATTTTCCAAAAATTAAACATAAAGGCAAAAAATAATATGCAGAAATAGTGTGGGAGTGTTGATGGAGTAATATTTACATTTGACATTTTTTACTGTGGTAGGATACTTTTTATAAGTTTGCTAACCAATTTTGGTTATTTATAATCATAAGAAACTTGAACTAGGTTTTGTGAAGCAGAGCTATAATCCCAGGACTCAGAGCCTGTGGCAAGCTCCAAAACAGCCTGGGATATATAAGGAGACCCTGTCTCAACAAATGAAACACACACACACACACACACACACACACACACACACACACCCTTTAAAGCATAAAGAATCTATATAAATTTGTCTTTATTTTTTCTTTTTCCTTCTTCTTTTTTTGTTCTTACGTTTCTTCTTTGTCTTTTATCATTCTTGAAACATAATATTAAATATAGTTTATGTTAAATCAAGACTGTAAAGATTATTTTGCTTAAAAGAGATCCATCAGCTTTTCCTTCTTTTTTATATACTGTTTTGTAGAAATTTAGTAGGACAGAAGCCAGTTGCATTTATTTTCTCTCCATTATGTGCAGAAAAACTGAAAGAATAATAATTGGACATAAAATTGATTCTGGCTCGTGGATTCAGAAATATTAGTGTTTCGCTGGTGAATTTCAGAAGTTCACATAATGGCGAGCAGAGAAATGGGGATAGAAGGATCCAGAGCAAGACACAAGACTTCAAGACATGGCCCCATAGCATCCCTTGCACCATTTCCCAACATAAGCCATCAAATTATGAATCCATCATGTGATCAATCCTTTCATTGCAAGTCAGGATAAAGATTCTTGCTCATCCAGGTTTATTACCACAATATTTACAATGGTCAAGTTGTGGAAACAGCCCAGATACTCTACTTCAGCCCTCTGCAACTCCACTTTGTGGTATTCAATGGAGACCTGGCATAGGAATTTGACATAGTCTCAGCCACACAGGTGCTGGGTAGCAGGGACTAGAATTGCCGAACCCAGGTGGACTTGAACATTTATCTGGAACGGAGGCTGGTAGCTTCCTGCTAGGACTGCCTTGGGCCTTGGACCTTCCTCTGTCATCCACTCTACAACAGGAGAAACTCAGGCTGGAGATAGGTGGATGGAGGAGCAGAGGCTACCCTAAGGATGAGTGGACCCAGAGAATGTGGTACAATGGAATTCAATCATCTAGTAGAGTAATATTTTGTCATTTGCATGCTTTCTTCTGCAGTGCCTGCCTGCTCTTCATAGTCTCTTCGGGACTAGGAATTTGTTGTCAGGGGCATCACAAATGAAGTCATTTTCTCTAGCTGGTTTAAATAGATCTTTCAGATCTGGGTGCTGGTTATATCTTGTTTGGAAAACGGAGTTTCTTTTGTGGTTTGCGAAGTGAACTCAGGGCCTCATGCATGCCAGGCTGGTGCTCCACATTTTTTAGTGTGTAGTACCTTTCCTTTCCCTGTCAGCTTCTCTTTAGTTCTCCTTCATGACTAACCGGTGAAGCCTGAGAAGTCTCCTCTTCCTTGTTTGCCCTTTTCAGTTTCAAATGCATTTAGAAAACTATATTGAAAAGACTGCCCTCAGAGATGCTTCAATCTGACAAAATTTGTAATCATCCTGGACCCTTTTCACCAAAATGAACTCTCATCCGAAAGAGTAAAATGAACTTTGAATTTTTTTTTGAAAGGGCATGTCACCCTACATGCACTAAAGATGAGTGGATCAAGAGAATGCGGTACAATGGAATTTTACTCATTTGATAGAAAGAGTAATATTATGTCATTTGCAGGACAATGGAAGATGCACCTAGAACAAATCATGTTAAGTGAAGTAAGCGAAGATCTGAGAGACAAAGGGCTCACATATGTGGAAGCTAGATCTAAAATACAACTATTCATGATAATATATACAGGTCTCAGTGCATTTACACACAAACTGAAGGAGGGTGTAACTCCTCTGAAGTACTGTTTATCAGCGTGAATAGCAGGAAGAGGAGGAAACATGTTTGTGGGGGAAGGCAATGAGTGGCCCAGGGAAAGGAGAGGAAATGCACTGCAAAAAAAATGAACTATGTAACTTGCGTGTAGGGAAAGACTGGGGGAAATTGCAAAAAACAAAGGAAGGAATTACATTGACCAAGAGGCATTGGACTCATAACCTGACTTGTAGAATTGTAGCACCTTTGTGCAAGTACTTAATAATTGTTTCAAAGGGTAGGAAGATGAAAGAATTAGGTAATCTGTACTCAGTGGTAAAATGTGGGACCAGAACCCAGGGACTTGCCACACTCAGTGGCAAAGTAATAACCAAACACTATCCAGACATAGAGTGGTCATATGAATATTGAGATAACTTATCACAGAAAAAATTATTATAAATGCTAAATATGGAATGCTTTATGGATCAGACATGCTGGTAGGCATTTTGAAAATATGTCCGTATGTACTTCTTGTTTTTCAATACTGAAGTTGGATCTCAGAGTCATGTTTGTTAGGCTTCCTTGGCTGGTGCCTTACCACTCAAACCATGTTTCTAAGCCCATTAAGTGCTGTTGATTTGGAAATGAAGTGTCAAAGACTTCTATGCCCAGCTGGGCTTTGAAGTAGGATCCTCTGGACTTAAGCCTTCTGAGAAACTACAATTACAGGTATATGCCACTAGAAGCCTGATAGAAAATCATTGTTTTCCAGTCCTGGGGCTTGAGCTCAGGGCCTGGGTACAGTCCCTGAGCCTCTTTGTACTCAAGTCTAGCGCTCAACCACTTGAGCCACTGGGCCACTCCTGGCTTTTTCTGAGTAGCTTATTGAAGATATATTGTACAGACTTTCCTGCCTGGGCTAACTTTGAACCAAAATCCTCATATCTCAGCTTCCTGAGTAGCTAAAATTACAAGTATAAGCCACCAGCACCTGGCAGAAGATGATATTTATCTATGAAGTTTACTTTACAATATTTTGAAACTCAACAGGATTAAGTGATATACCCATCCTTACAAGATAAAAGTGCTTCAGACAGAAACTGATCTAACTTGCCTTCAAAGAAACTTTTTGCCCCTTTTATAATATAATAATGAGGTTAGAAGGGCCTTAGGGGCTGGGAAGGTAGCTCAGTGGTAGAGTGCTTGCCTCATATGCATGAGGCACTGGGTTTGATTCCTCGGCCCACATAAAGAGAAAAAGCTGTAAGTGGCGCTGTGGCTCAAGTGGTAGAGCGCTAGCCTTGAGCTGAAGAGCTGAGGGACATTGCCCAGGCCCGGAGTTCAAGCCCCACGACCGACAAAAATAAAAGAAGGACCCTAAAATATGCCTAAGTGTGGATATCTATTATGCATACCTGACAATAATAATAATAAAAAAAAAACAACAGCCCACAACAGCTGTGACAACTTCCGATCAGAGCTGAACCATGGAGATGCTATTCAATTCTGAGGCCACTCTGTTCAGCATTCCACATATTTTGGCTTCCATTTTTCCTCATTTTAATCAGCAAGGGAATATACTTGGAAGCAAAAGCCTCAGTTTCTTAACTATTATTATCCACCTGAAGTCATCAGTTCTGTTTATTACATCATAATCATCTCCACTTGGCACCAATTGTGCATTCCCAAAGAGGAAATTATGATTTCAAGTGAAGACGACGGAATGGGAACAGATGTGGTACTAAAAGAGCGACATCCTATTATCCTGCAAATGTACTCCATAATGGAGAGCAAAGGAGAAGAGATCAGAAGGCACTGCCATATTTCACAACACAGGCTGTTCTAGCAGTAGGATTGCAGTTCAATGGAGTGATCTACTGAAGTTTCGATATACCATTTGTGGCACTTTCTGCTCAACATTTATATACTAGAGATACTGCAAAGTAAGAAAATTGATAGCAAATGCTTTGCTGTAACACCTGCAATCACCTCTAGTCTCATCATTCTACACACATCCTGTTGACCTTCCTTACATATATTGACACTTCCATGTGGTTCTTATTCTTGTCTCTTCTCTCTTGCATGGCTCTCCCTTCAAAGATTTTCATAGACCATCAGAGCCTTTAACTCAAGGGAAGGAACTGCTGACTAGGCGACTTTATAATGATTCCAATTGTTTAAAAAATGGATATTTGAGGTTCCTAGGCCTGTGAATCACCACCAATCCATTCATAAAAGCAGGTGTTACTCACTTAACATGTGTCCAATAACATGCATGAGACAAAATACCTGGAGGTGAAAGATTGTTTCAATCATACCTGTGGATCCTAGCTACTTAGGAAGTGGAGGTCTAAGTGTCATGGTTTGAAGCCAGACTGAGCAGGAAAAGTCTGTGAGACTCTTATCGCCAATTAACTGCACAGACAAAACCAGAAGTGGAGCTGTGGCTCAAGCTTTTGCTCAACCTTGAGCAAAAGAGCTTGAGATCAGTGCTCAGGGCATGAATTCAAGCCCTAGTACCAGGATATACAGAAAAAAATGACTGTCCTAAGAACTCAAATATCCCATAGTAATGTGAGGGAGGTAGATAAGGTTAACAATCAGTCACAAAGTAATGCAATTACTGCTATACCAGAGTTATTCCCTGGGTCTGATGGAACTTTGGTGTAAATACAAAGAGGCCAGATGAGACTACCTGGGAAATATTAAGAATGAACTAAATCACTGTTTGAAAGAGTATAGAGGTCAAGAAAACACAGTTATAGAAAGGAACAAGTAAGAATTTATCTGTTGGCTATGGATGAGTCAGATGATGACAATGATAAAAGACAAGTTCAAATGAACATTTAAATCAATAATAAAGCCCACAGATGTTAATCTCATCTCTAGAGTTTCAGATAAAATGTTCCTAAACTAGTCCTGCTGCTGCTGTTTTGAATGCTCCATAGGGGCCAGCCTGGAGAGGTCCAATCTGTTTGCTTCTCTGTAAGCTGACCTCTTAACGTGCTTTGAACATCTTTATGCTGTTTCTATGCCAACAGAAACATCCGTTGTCTTTTCTGTTCCTCTCTCTATACATCTATCCCTCATCTGTCGATCCAATGTATTACATTTGATTAACTTAAAAATCATCTTCATAATAAGATGATGGCACTTCGAGTCCCTGGAATGACATACTATATCCATATATTCTACTCTCATTTAGGGGAAAGGATTGCAGGAGGTACTTGCCTAATGGGGCAGGACCCTTGGTGGTCATATTAGAATTTGGCCTGTCTCTTACAAGGTTTATCACATGGTCTTCTCTTAGGAGATACTCACATGTGTTTTTTCATTGATAGAAAATACGCGTTACATAGCCTCCAAATGTACTTTTAGTTTTAATGTACTTATTCATGTAAGAAATGCATATGTGATATTTGGTAGTAATAATGTAGTTCAAATATTATGTAGGGTTTTATTCATGATGCTTCCCTGCAATCAACATAGGCAATAAAAACACAAGCAGCTCTATAAAAATATTTCTTATTAAAATTGAAACAGTAATAAAAGCATTTTACTGGACATCTATTATGTCTGCCTATAGAAGTATGAATATAAGTGATACATCACAGTCATCCTAACACCCATTCTCACAGTATGGAATACAGGACAATTCCATGTGTCTGTCTGGTTGAGAGAATAATACAGAGTCAAGGTATAAATGGGCATCAGGATTCTTGCTAACTATCTGGGAAAATACCTCATAATGACCTGAATGTAATTAGCCACTGTATTCCTATTGATATGAATTTATTCATATTTGCCTAATGCTGGCCTATCTTAAGATAGGATCGCTAAGATCTATTAAAACTTTGTTTTACTTAAATATTAGAAGAGCTTTATTGCTGAGCACTGTTGGCTCTTGCCTATCATCCTAGCTATTCAGGAAGCTGAGATCTGGTAATCTCAATTCGAAGCCAGCCTGGGTAGGAAAGTATGTAAGACATTTATCCCCAAGTAATTATCAAAACCATGGAAAGAGCTATAGTTCAAGTGACAGAATGCCAGCCTTGAGCTAAAAAGTCAAGTCAGAGCAAGAGGCACTGAGTTCAAGCCCCAGTACCGACATTGGGCTGGGGGAGGAGAAATAAAAAGAGGGAAACAGAACTTTTCCACACACTACTGCATAATGAATCATGAAGGAAGGGGTAGATAGCTTTATAAAGAGCAATCAACCCCAGCCTATTTAATTTCTTCTCCTGATGGAAATAAGACAGTACTGGAAGGAAGATGTGTATTACAGATTTTCAATTTGGATGACTTATTTCTTGATAAAGACGCATAATATTTTGACTTAAAATAATTGAGGGAAGCTGAATTTTTAAATTTTTTCATGGTTTCTCTTGGGAAAACAACACAATATGGAGATTCCTTCAGGAGACAAATGGGAACGCATTTAGCATGGGCTGTCTTCCATTAGCAATGGCTGTGAGGAAACAACGGAGCCATCACGGAATGGCTGCACACTGAGAGATTCTATGCATTAAAGATT